TGTACTACTGTTATATAAGATGTCATCACCGAGGAAGCTGGGTGACAGGTACACAGGACTGTGCTGTACTATTCTGGCAACTGCTGAGCCTATTGTTTAAAAAAAAAAAAAAAGCATCCCAGAATAAAACTGAAATAAATACCTGGGGGAGAGCGCAGGAGATATAACTTAGTTCAAGATGTTCTCAACTTTTAGAGAACATGACCTTCTAGAGAGCAACTGTCAGTCTCATCACTCTGTACAGTATAATACACATTTCTCTAATGCTCTGGGGAGAGGATCTGAAAGGGAACTTAGGGAGTGAGAAAGCCTTGAACAGAGGATACAGCCGGATACGGGTATTCTAACCAGACCTAACACCTTAACCCATGACTTGGATGATAAACAATGATTTAGAGTTTGGATTACTAGTGAGACCCAAATTTAATGTATGGCCATAAAGTATGGACACAGCACAGCGATTCTCAACTGGAGCCACTTTGCGCCCCCTCCCTCCCCAGGGGACATGTGCAATGGCTGAAAATGTCAACAGTGACGAGGTTGAGAAGGCCGAGAAAGAGGGCACACTTATCCACATCTGCAAATCTGAGGCTGAAAACTACCGGAGGGCTGAATACCCTGGCCCTTAGCCCAATCATTAAAAGAACAAAATGGGGTAGGAAATAAACAGAGGCAAGGCTGCATGAAATGACAACATCGTAGAAGATGCAGTGCTATTTGCACCTAGCACTCAACACTTTTATTTCAAAGTTCATGGAAATACTTCCCAGGGGTAATTAGTAAGAATAATAAGCCTTCAAGTCAAACACACACACACACACACAGACCAGTGCTGCATGTCATCCAAATCCCTACAATTAAAACAACCACCCCATAACTGCACACACACACACACACACACACACAGACCAGTGCTGCATGTCACCCAAATCCCTACAATTAAAACAACCACCCCATAACTACTGTGGCCCAGGGCTAACTCCCAAGGATACTTACAATGCAAAGGAATGAGAAGTGAAAGAAAAACCCATACAAACAATACCCTAAACCAGTGGTTCTCAACCTGTGGGTCGCGACCCCTTTGGCGGTCGAATGACCCTTTCACAGGGGTCGCCTAAGACCATCCTGCATATCAGATATTTACATTACGATTCATAACAGTAGCAACATTACAGTTATTAAGTAGCAACGAAAATAATTTTATGGTTGGGTCACATGAGGAACTGTATTTAAAGGGCCAGAAGGTTGAGAACCACTGCCCTAAACAAATGGTCAATGGTTCCCACGCAGCCCAAGGCTGCATCCCTTGTGTGTGCCTTGGTCTTAAATGAACATTAGCAACCACACTGGCGTTTTCTGGGGGCCATACATGAATCACCAGCCCTGCTATTAACTGAGAAGAATGCCTCTCTCCTTCACCCAGACTTAAAGAAGAACCTGACAGCGGCCACGGAAATCGAGTACTCAACGTTAATATCTTCTGTTCAGCAATGCATGTCACTAACAAGAAGTTACAAAATCCCTCTTATCATAAGTACATCATGACTGAGTGTCTGGGCTTTGCCTGCAGTAAGCTGCACAGGCACATCTCATAAAACTTTTTGCGCCAAATGATAAGTAAAAATGTGCAAAACCCTTTGATGAAACATCTCCACTTTGATGAAATAATCAAACAAGCATGCAATGATACAGGAACAAGAATGTTTGTGTGATGCCTTCTATAAAAGCAAACAACTAGAAACAACCTAAAATGGTCATATAAATGATACATGCCCAGGAGAAATGGGCAGGGCCACTCTTAGAACCGGTCACCTAGGACCCCTGCCTTGGGCTGTAGGCTTTAGAGTGCCCTGTACATAACAAAGGCACACACAAAAAAGTTAACAGCAGTTCCTCAAAGAGCTAATCATGGTCTTGGGTAAAAATATTATTAATTTCAAACTTGTAGTAAGTGGCAGTAATTTGATATGAATATTATTTTCCACTAATAATATTAGCAAAAGCTTCCCCCAACCCCAAACAGAATGAATTTAGCCATTTCATTTTAAAAATGTGTTTAGAGAAAAATTTCCTCAATCAAAAAGGAACAATTGTGAAACATGCAACAAAATTGATAATTCAAGACAATACTTAATCAGATTAAGGAAATAAAAATATTTATATGACTAGAAAGGGAAAAAATTTACACACACATGATCCCCAATCATTTTTATGTAAACTATTTCATGGCCAAGGTGCATTAAGGAATAGTCTCATCTGAAAACAGATTTTTAATGAATTAACTTCTGTGTTCAGTTTTCTTTATAATATGCAGAGCATTGAAAACTTTGAAAAACAACTTAAGAAATATTTAATGGGCCTAAAGATCCTTTTAAGAAATGGTATGGCTCAGTGGTTGAGTCCTAACCTATGAACCAGGCGGTTACGGTTTGCTTCCTGGGTTGAGGGCTCGGTCCCCAGTGGGGGGTCGGCAGGAGGCAGCCGATCAAATGATTCTCTCTCATCATTGATGTTTCTATCTCTCTCTCCCTCTCCCTTCCTCTCTGAACTCAATTTTTTTAAAAATGGTGAGATTCACAATGACAGTGACAAAATAAAATTACAAAATTGTGTAAATCCTGTAATATCAATAACTTATCATATGCAATCCTATTCCTTTTTAAATCTAAATATGGCATATGAGTTCTGTTGACAATGCCAGTAACTAATGCCCAGCCTTCTCCAAACTGAAATTAATACAAAAACAAATCTAAGAACCACAATGACTCAAGAAAGGTTTTCTACTTTGGCGCTACTATCAATAATACACAAAGTATTGTGAGCATCATGACTACAATAAAATTAGTGAATCTTCTCAAATATGGGCAATCAAAATAGATTTAAGTTTCTCTGGCCTGGTGGACACATTTTCTGAAAAGCCCTCAGAGCAAAAGAAGCAAAAAATGTTATTCAAGGAAGGCTCCTTGAGCAACTTTGCTCTCTGCTGTCATGATCACCCCACGAGCGTTCACAAGCTAACAAGTAGAGCACAACTACATGCAGAAACTCTGGGAAAGGAGCCGGAATCTGTACTCGAAAGAGGAGATTCCATCAGAAAATCCAAAGGAGGACTACTCCAATAACTGAGCAGTAGAATTGGGGAGAAAAATTATAGTCTTCCAACCCTTTACTTTAATAAAATTAACACTTCTTAAAAACCCAGTTTTCTAAGTGCCTTCTTTTACAATCTCCCTACCATCCTCAGGAGGTTGGGGCCAGCGGCTTTAGAAGTCACATTTTACAAAGAAACAGAAGATACTTGTCTTTCCTAAATCAAAAACAAACCAAATAAAAATTAGTGGCATGTTCAAAAGCTGATTCACAATTTCCTGCTGGGTTTGCAATGTTTCTGGGGTGTGGATCACTTGTTTTCCCAAACTCCCATGCTGTTTTCAACTCAAAAATCACTTACTAAGTGCCTACTGTATATGGCACTTTGGCTAAGGACACCAATAGGAGAGAAAAGCATGGCCAGGCTGTGAAGAGCACAGAGGCTCTGATGACTGCTTGTCTGGGTTCAAATCCGGGCTGTCATTTTCTAGCTGTGTGACACTGGGCCAATGACTGAACCTCTCTGTGCCTCACTATCCTTACGCATACAGTTGCTAAATGGATTAAATGAGGTAATGAATGTAAAGTGCTCAGGAACTTGCGGGGCACATAGAGAGCACTCAGTAAACGTTAGCCTTATTTAACATTGTCTTCAAAGAATTGTAAAAAGCTTTGTAATTAATAAAAAAGATTATGAGCATCTCCCCTCCCATCATAAAAAAAAAAATCTGTACTTGAGGGGAAAGTAGAGGCTATCCAAGGCTAGAATCCCATCCTTAAGGACCTTCCAGTGCAAACGAGGTGATACAATCTGTAAATGGGATATTGAACCTCTCAAGGCTGTTTACTCACTTGAGAGGGGGTGGGGTGGGGAAAGGTATGTAAAGCCTCTGAGGACAGGAGTAAATTCCTAAGATGACCAGGACGGAAAGGCAGAGCCAAGTTCAGAGGAAAGAGAGGTAGGGGTCAGGTGAACTAGACCTGTCAGAGGCGGTTTCAAAAGGGAGCTGGGCAGGCAGGCCATCTGATCGGCAGCGAGGGCGGCCTGCACAGAGGTGGGGGCAGGGCTGGTAAGGGAGGCTCTGGAGCCCAATGCAGGCGGGGATGAATGAAGACAGTTGCAAGGTCAGAAAGGCCTGGAAAACCAGACTGGGGAACGTGAACTTGATTTTGTAAGCAATCCAGAGACGCTTTAAGACAGAATTCTGGAAACGCAGACTCTGTGTTGTACAGAGTGTACAGGCTGAAAGGGAGCAGATTAACAAATGCAATCCAGCACCACAAACATACCTGGGAAAGCTCTAAGGCCGAGCTTTCCCTGCGCCTGTGAGTGCTGGGATTCACTCACCACCGACAGCCGCCCGTGCTTCATGTCTCAGTTACAATAACTAAACTCTTATTATTACTCACCCACCTACCCCGTGCCAAGAGATGTAAATCTTATCTTGAATTCCATGCAAGGTCAACACGATTATGCCCACTTACAGACCAGAGAAATCAAGGCCAGGAAGCTCAGGTAACCTGGCCAAGCTCCCACAGGGGGGAGGGGTACAGGGGGCTCCCAGAGGCCACATCTTTTCTACTTTTGGGATGGGGTGCTTTTCCCTCCGCCCAGGGGCCTTCTGGCATGAGGAAGTCTTGCCAAGATTAATCTAGACTTCACGGGTTACTCATTCTTGAAATGTTCCCTGCAAATTAATGACATGAAAATGTTACGTAGCAATTACCCTGAAAGCAAAATTTTGAAAACCCATTAACCAAAAGGTAGCCTCGCCTACAAATCTCAACAGAAGAGCACCTCCCAGGCTCGTGTCCTTACAGGTGACCCCACTTAAAGCCAGCAGAGCTGGAAAAGCAAACACTCTGCTTGCTCCCTTCAGCGCTCTGGTTGATAGGAAGGCCCTGCCTAGGCTGGTTTGTGCCTGATTTTGTAGAGGCCACATGATAGGCGGGGAGCAGCCCTTCCCGCAGCCCTGGCCAGGGAGATCAGGGCTCCCTGCTGGCAGCAACTGTCTTGCTCGCAGCTGCTCCCGGGGCTTTGCTGTTCCCAATGTGACAGGGGCCAAAAAATGTACTTGACAATAGAAATCACTGAGGGTGTGCAAAAAAGGCAAGACACTGTAACTCCATTGTGAGAAAAGGCACATGCTCTGATTCTATTATACAGTCGTCAAAAGGGTGGGCTTCAGGATTTGGTGAGGCAAGGCAGTCCTCAGCTCTTCCCTTTAGCCTGGGAGAGATGATTTAAGGGGAGGGAAGGAGCTGCCAAAAATAACAGTCTTCATTTTTTTTTTAAACCAAAACAAGAAATATCAATAAGCTCTAAAACCAAACAAAATAAAATGCTATGAAAAAATAGGGTCAAACACTCTTAGCACCTTAAAAAGCTCATTAAACAACCCCAGGTAACAACCAAACCCAAACAGTGTTCAGGAGGAAAAAGGCATTTCCACTGAACCTCTTTCGAGTTGAGTTTGTTCCAACCTGGAGTGAACCAGGCTGTAAGAAATACATAGTGGAAAACATTCTAGTTGTACCTAACAATTTATCCCTTAAAACATTCATACCTGCTTCCTGTATCTGGATGTCTCAGTATATTTGTGTACATTTTACATATTTATTCTGAAAAACCAAAGCGTTTGTATGTCCCATTAATAATCCTCAAAAGAGCTTTTGCTTGAACAGCCATTGTGCCACTCCTATTCCTAGAATGGAAAACAGAAAAGTCAAGCTCATGTATGAGTTCAACTGGTAGGTGCTTACTGGCCTTCCAGTGTTCTCAGCACTGTACTTGGCCCTGGGGACATGGAAACAGCGTCCACTTCAAAATATCAACAACACATTTGCACAGTAGTCTGGCCACTGTGCTGGTTGAGACTTTTCTGCTATTTTTTTTAATTGCTTTGATTACAGACATAGCAAAACCTAGTTGCTGCCTAAAGTAAACTTTTTAACAACTTACCTCCAAATGCTAAAGAAAACACACCTAGTTTTCCCAAAAGTGTACACACAATTTACTTGAGAGTAGCCATAAATATCTAAAGGCAGACCATGAAGAAACAAACTCTATTAGGGAATGTGGGGTGCTCAGTTTCTCCAATCCCGGGGTACACTTTAAAGTCAGTAGCCATCAGCTGAGGGGCGCGAGCCTCACAAGTGTCCCGCTGACCTGGCCAGCAGGAAGATAGGTGTCTGCTGCTACTTAGAGCAGAAACTCCAAGGCAAGAGGGCTGTGCATGCAACACGCACGAGAATTCATTCCATGAGGCAACTGCTTCGTGGGTACAGCTCAGTGGTTCTCAAGTGGTGGTGATTTTGCTCCCCATAGGTCATTTGGCAATGTCCGCAGACATTTTAATTGTCACAACTTGGGGGCTCTACTAGCATCTAGGGGCCAGGGATGCTGCTCAACACCCTACAAGGCACAGAACAGTCCCCCTAAAACAAAGAATGAACTGGCCCAAAATGACACTGGTTTGAGAAACCCTGGCCCTCCTCTGAGTAACAGCTGCAAGTCCCAGGTAACTCCTATTTCCTTATTCTTTGGCCAGTCATACATGAAGCCAATACCTATAACATTTCCTTCAACGTTTTGTTCTCAACCGTTAGCATTAGCTTCAAATTGTTGTCCGACAAGCAACAAGTCATTATGCCCAAATCGCAATGGGAAAAATTACCAAAGAACAGGACACCACTTAGTGATAAGGAGGCCCTCCAATTTTTGCTGTCCTTGGAAATATCACTTCCACACTTATTGTTTCTACTCTCACAAGACATAGCAAGATTTTCTTCACTGGACAGTTTAACAAAAAGAGGCTCTGTTATAAAACACTAAACAGAGAGACTATGTTAGGAGTTTGTTTTCAATTAATACAGCAATGTGTGGCCACCCTCATTGGCCCTGCTGGCCTCCACCTCAGGGGTAGAACGTTGAAGGCTGATTAGAAATACACCACCAAATTAAAAATATAATTTCAAATAAATGAAAATATCCTCAAAATGAACATTTCCACCAGCAACAGAGGGGAAAGGCTCTGGATTCTACAACAAGCTCTTCATCCTTGGGCAACTGACTTAATCTTTGACTTAAAATGCTTCGACTAGGAAATGAAGGGAATGGATGATCACTAAAAGACAACTTCACTATTATATCATTGAACTAAAATCCAACAACCAGGTTACCTTACACTGAACCAAGGTATAGTGTAAGGAAAAAGTTTTTCAACCAGAAAATGTGAGAGGCATCTGTCCCACGTTATCCTGAAGTTCCCCCCACTTGCACTAGGGGGCAGAGTTCTTCCCAAGGGGAGGCCACAGACCCCCTGTGGTCCAGACAGGCTTCATGGAGACCAGGATCCCAAAAAACTCAACACAAATTCTCTGTCCCATCCTATCTCTTAAGGGACCCAGAATACACAAAAGCAAAATAAAGCCAATAAAAGTTAAGAATTAGTGTCCTGCAGGCATAGCCTAGGTTTTCTAACAGATAAAAGCCCACTGGTCTTTCGTCATGGCTTAATCTGCAATCCTGCAAAAAGTTGTCGTGCCTTCTTGCAGGCATGAAATTCTACGGATTAGAAAATGCTACAATCTCACATTTACAGATTTCATTCTTTAAAAACAGGTAAAAATACATATTAATGGATGATTAATTCCTTTCCAGCCCACATCTCACAGAGAATATGGGTATCACATGTGAGATGCCACTATGAAAAAAACTGGGTATTACTATTGCACAGGAATACACTTATCACTTTGGCCATTATAAATAGGATTAGAAAATGCTACAATCTCACATTTACAGATTTCATTCTTTAAAAACAGGTAAAAATACATATTAATGGATGATTAATTCCTTTCCAGCCCACATCTCACAGAGAATATGGGTATCACATGTGAGATGCCACTATGAAAAAAACTGGGTATTACTATTGCACAGGAATACATTTATCACTTTGGCCATTATAAATTGTCTAAGTGGGCATCCCGAAAGCAGAATGACTTGAAATATTATATCCAATTAAGTCTGAAAAAGCAAGTTGGGGAACACAGATGCAACCCCTCACCAATCTAATTGGCAGGAACATTCCAAAACTGTCCTGGCTTCACAAAACACCCCCTGGCTCTCAATGAAAGTCACATCTGACTCCCTGAAGTCAACTAAGTTTACGTTGAGCCACTTCAAACCTCAAACTTAAACAGAACTCATTAAATAAACACAACCAAGAAAGGAAAGGGAGCCAGGAAACTACAGTAACTCTGGACCCCAGGGGGAGAGAAAGGGGAGAGGGGTCTCCAGTCAAGGATTTCAAGTCACTGTGGTGTCCCGCCCTCAAGGAACCTAAAAGGGGCATCGGTTTAACTTTTTTAAATAGCCATTGTTTGCCCTAAACGATTTTCTTTACATTCAAATTCAAAATCTGCCCAGGGCAGTCCGCACAGATACCTGATCTTTTGATCTCACCATCTGGATCTCAAACCCTACTGAGCGCTTCTCGGGGAGAACTACAGGTCCCACACCAAAGGTCCAGCGGGCAGAGAACACGGTGAACGATTAAACGCGCCTTTCCCGCTCACACTCCATCACAGCCGGCTCCCCTGGAAGTGCGTGCACCCCTCGCACAGGAAGCCGGCTCGTTTCGCAAAGGAAATACCAGACCTTTCTTGGAGAAAGGCACGTCCCGGTGGAACATTTTACTGGGCTTCCTGCACCCAGGTAGTCGGGCAAGCAGAAGTCCTGGCCAGGCCCGGGCGCCCGCCGCCTCACCTCCCGCGCCCGCCGCGGGGACACCGGTGAGCCGGCTACCCACGCAGAAGGAAGCTCACCTTCGCTACCTCCCGGGGCAAAGGGGAAGCGCGGGACCAAGCAAAACCTGCCCCGGCTTACTCATTGACCCCGAGGCTCCCCCGGGGGGTGAGGCGATTCACGGGAAGTTTCGCCCTCCACGGCTTAGGGAAAGGTACCGGGCGGGCGCCCGGCGCGGTGGGCAGACCCCTCCTCCGGGGCACCGAGGCCAGGTCGGGGCATGAAGGGAGCCCGCGCGGGGCGGCGAGCGCACTCACCTCGGGGAAGAAGTTGTCCATTGTTCCAGCGCGTTCCCCGACTTGCCCGAGTCGGGCGTCCAGCTCGAAGAAGTCAGCCCAGCGGAAGGTCCGGGGAAGGAACCATGCATGTCACGGCGCGACTCCCAGGAACTCGAGCCCTAGGGGCTCTCCCGTGGCCATCGCCTGACCCCCGGCTCGTCTTTCGCACCTTTTGTTTGCCCAGACCCAATTCTCGAACTCCTCCGTCCCCAACGCAGCCTTTGTCTCCTCTTCCTCCAAGTTCTTCACTTCTGGGCGCAGCGCACGCGAGCGGAGAACAGCTGGTGGCACATTCTTCCCCGGGGCTAGGGAGGGCGGGGGGGGGCTGG